AATTTTTGTTGCAAAACTTCAACATAAAGCTTAAAAGAAATGTGGATTCAACAGGATGGTACCACTTGTTATACTGCGGACGAAACAATAGACTTATTGAAAGAACCTACCAACGACAACATTGTTTCAAAAAATGGACCGGTCAATTGGCCTCTGTGTTCGTGTGATTTGACGCCACTTGATAATTTGGAGAAACCTGATAAACCAGCAACGCTTTGGAAACCAATATTCAATATGTCATTGCTGAAATACTCCCTCAAATGCTTGAAAAGATGGTAAAAAGTTGGACCTCCAGAATGGCCTTTGTGCAAACTAGTGGTGGCGGCCATATATCCGAAATTATATTTTATTGTTTAACGACTAGAGATTATCTATCAAATATTTCACAATTTAACATGTGTTTTTTATTCAGATTTTAAATCAGGAAGCTCTAATAAAAATACCCTTTGGCAAGAAAGTTCATTACACAGTAAGAATTCAAATTATCATTTTACAACTACTTAGGCTGCAAAATGCGGTCAAGACCTACACGAAAATGTCTAAAACTGATTACATGGTTAAATTGGGGGGTCATGCCAAAACGTGAGTTATTATTAAAACGTTTTTTCTTGAGAAAAATGAATTTCTAAATTACAGTTACTTTGGTTGAGGAATGCTCGAAAATGCACGAAACTGCGGCAGTTACCAGAGAAAAAACCCTATCAATAAAAATACAAAATACCTACAATTTATCGGTTGGAAATTGTGGCTGAAGCATTAAAAAATCAAAAGTTATAAATGTCAAACACCATCATTTTTACATTTTTTTCTAATTTTATTGAATGAAAGTAAAAAATGTCGGAAGTAGCATGAAAATTTAGAATAAGTTTAGATTTGTTCGAATTGGTCACCTTTGGCACGAATTATGGCCAACAGGCCATAATATCGTTGGCCAAACAGCCAACGAACCCGTCACACGCTGCCCGAATGTTGCTCTGCGGTATTTTGGCCCATTCCCGGCAAAGCGCTTGCTTGAGGTGCTCGCCACTTATCCAGAGTATATCCGGAGATTTTGTTGGCCATTGTGCGCTGGAAATGTCCAAGGTCTGCGGCAAAATGTTTGTGTGCCCAAGGCTTTAATACACCCTCTAAATTATATTGGCGATAATATATGGCATTTATTCTGATGCCACGGCCGATTAATACGAACGGATAGCGACGGCTTATGGCGGCCAACACCATCACCATGGCTGGCGCTTGAGTTCTGGTGACCGACCGAAGGTGTACATTTTCAGCTGACCTCTTTGGAAAGTAAACACCATCATTTTGTTTGTTTACAAACTGCTGGACAACGATTGTTTTCCCATCGGAGAAAACCACATTATTTTCGGCCACTGCGACGTGGGTTTCGATCAAGTCGCTTCTTTACTTTTCGAACCATTTCTGCTGATGTTGCTGTTTTCTTCCGTCCACTTCCTTGACGTGGGGCTACGCGACCAGTGTTACGGTAGAAGCGATGGTACGAGACACAAAAGATTTATTTATTTATTTATTTAAATGCTGGAGTGCTCTAATGATAGCCACATGTGGTTTTCCAGCCAAATATAAAGAAATCACACTATCACGCTTGAATTCCATCACGGATAACTTTTTTCTGGAAAGCTCTCACCAAAATGCTTCTGTACGCTTGTAAACAATATAATGAGCAGTCACTGGAAAAATGTTAACATATGTGGGACGAGTGGCTTAGATATGTCAGCAGTCTGAAGCTGGTTGCAGTTTTTTCATCTCACCTTGTATTCAATATAGGTATAGCCCCATATAACAGATCTCCCACATTTTAGAGATTTCGATTTGGCCATAAATAGCTCAGCCAAGTATTAGCTGATGAGATAAAGTTGGGACCCCAAATTTGATATTGAGATCTCTCCGCTTTTTTTACCAAATTGTTTACAAGCTCTAGTTACGAAATTTAAAACAATTTTTGTGGAAAATGTTACAGTAGTTTTAAATCAAACTACATAAATATCGATCTCATTATTGTACACATCACACATATTTACACGACTGTGAGTACATTAATCAAATATATCATATCTCTCTATCAATAGAATGGACGTTTCCAATTACAATATCATCCAATTTACAATTTAATGTCATTCATTCATCTTCCTTTTTCATTCTGTGTGTATGTGTGTGCGTGTTTGTGTGAGTGCGTGTTCTCTGTGATATCCACTGGCATTATGACCTTTCATTTAACACTCCATAAGATGATTAATAAATTCCAAAGAAAATTACGAAACTGACTTAACACGAGATAACGCAACGCCAAAGGAAATCATATAAGACCAAGAGTGGCCATTCATTGCTTCACAAAGTGTGAGGTGGTAGGTTAATGTCAGTGATAATGCTGTCATTCAAATCGTTACTATGGAAAACTCATTAGAGAAAATTCAATAAACCTATGAGTGCGTGTGGGGTTGGTGTTCACAAAAGGATAACGGATTTTGTGTGAATACATGTGCTTCTGCATTCTACAAAAGATTGTAGCTATGTACATAGCTACAATAATCTACAACACCATTGACGTAACCACAAATTCTCGCTAAATCTTTTGTATGGGGATATGTAATTAACCATGTCAATAGATGTGTGCCTATTAGCGCAGTGCTTTGAGTTTACCTATTTATAATTACTTAAGTTAATAAAGGATTCGTGGAAGGAATTTACATCAACGGTATTGGAAAGTGGTGGCCTTTAGGCCATCTTTAATTCCGTGGCATAGTATTTGCCTCCCTACTGCAGATGTAATATGTTTAATATAATGTAGTCAAAATGTGGATTACGCTTTCTAAGTACGAATACATCGTACCGGACAATTTTTACAACAAATTGAGGGAATACAGTACCCTATTCAGTCCAAACAAGGCATATCTTAAAATTTTTAAAAGACTGGCTTTTTATATGCGTTCAAAATGTTATATACGAATATTTTGTGGTTTTTATATAAAGTGAAATAAAGTCAAGAATTTAAAAAAAACGTATTTATTGTAATGTGTGAGACGAAAAAACTACGACCACCTTCAGACTGCTGTCATTTCGAAGCCACTCGTCCGACAGCTGTTAAAAATATTCCAGTGACAGCTCATTATATTCTTTACAAGCGTAAAAAACCATTTTGGTGAGGATTCTCCAAAAAAAAAATATTCGTGATGGAATTCAAGCGTGATAGTGTGATTTCTTTATATTTGGCTGGAAAACCACAAGTGGCTATCGTTAGAGCAGTCCAGCATTTAAATGTGAATAAATCTTTTGTGTCTCGTACCATCGCTCGGTACTGTGATACTGGTAACGTAGCCCCACGTCAAGAAAGTGGAGAGAAAAAAACAGCAACATCAGCAGAAATGGTTCGAAAAGTAAAGAAGCGACTTGATCGAAACCCTCGTCACAGTGGCCGAAAAATGGCTCGTGAGCTGAACATATCGCAATATTCCATTTGGTAATTATTGAAAAATAAACTCGGGGGAAATTCCAAAATGTGCAAGAACTTACACCGCAATAGAAAGAAAATAAACTTAAAAGAGCTAAAGAGTTGCTTTGCTTGGCCGAAAGTGGTGAACTGCCGAATTTGGTTTTCTCCGATGAAATTGCATTCGTTGTCCAGCAGTTTGTAAACAAACAAAATTATCGTGTTTACTTGCCAAAGAGGTCAGCTGAAAATATGCGCCTTCTGTTGGCCACAAGAACTCAAGCGCCGGCCATGGTGATGGTGTGGGCCGCCATAACAGTCGATGCTCGCTGTCCGCTCTTATTAATCGTCCGTGGCATCGAAATAAATGCCGAATATTATCGCGAAAATATTCTGGAGGGTGTATTAAAGCCTTGGCACGCAAACATTTTGGCCGCAGACCTCGGACATTCCAAAAGGACTCAGCACCATCGCACTCAGCATGCGCCATCCAAGAATGGTTACAAAATGAGGTTCCTCACTACATTTCTAGCGCACAATGGCCACCAAAATCTCCGGATACAAATCCGTTGGACTATTGTGTCTGGAGTATTTTGGAAGGCAAGGTTGGCACTAAAAAGTATCAAAGTGTCGATCAATTTAAACAAGCACTTCGCCGGGAATGGGCCAAAATACTGCACAGCAACATTCGGGTAGCGTGTGACGGTTTCATTGGTCGTTTGAAGGTCATAACTCGTGCCAAAAGTGACAAATTCGAACAAATCTAAACTTTTTCCAAAATTTGATTTTATTTCCGAAATTTTTTGCTTTCAATCAATAAAATAAAAAAATGTAAAACTTATGACGTATGACTTTTTAGCAGTTTTTTTTATCTCACCCTGTATTTAGTTTTTGATCCTTCAGGAGCGTAAACAAACAACGTGCAGCTGACCACGAGAAAAGAAGGAATAAGCGATATTCAAACCGCATACACGAAAATGTTGTCGTTGGGCTTTATTAATGTTATCCTTGGGAATTTTTAATAAAGCTCCCACATAACGGTACCTCCAGATATCCGGTATTTTGATAATTTATGCCACATTTCCACGGATTTGTCCAAAAATTGCTATTTGTAGATCATAATGGGTTTTAGCTCCGGTGGCGAAACGTTGTGCGTATAGGTCCACATATTCATATAGCCTCCATATAACGGTACCTCCCGATATTCGGTATATCGATAATTTTTGGGACATTTTTCAACGGATTTTGTTTGTTTAAAATTTGGTAGTTGAATATTTAGGTCCACGCTTAGCCTCCGATATTCGATATTTTAATAAACCTAGGCACATTTACCCAAGAAATTGTTTAAAATTTAGTATATAAGAAGATTCTTGAAGTATAAGATAGTCTGAAGACTCTCCCGTTTTGTTTTGGCCCGTTATATAACGGCCTCACCCACTTTATGGTTTCTTTTTAAGTTTAACAGCATAATCCAGTTTATTTTCTTTAACCAATGATTAAGGGTATTAATTATTCGTCCTGGCCGAAATTAATGTTTTTTACTTGTTTACTCTTAGCCTAGGACCATTGCAATGCGTTGAACCAAATCTGAACCGGTTTCAGTACATATTGACAACATTTATTTTTAAAATTCATTGAAATTGGAGATCAAATACATGAAATCGAACGAAAATGTATATGGGAGCTATATCCAAATCTAAACCGATTTCAATACAATTTGGCAAATTAGTTTTTGTACCAAATTCCATTACTCGTTCCAAATTTGAAGACTGTATCTATAACCGATCAATAGATGTGTGCATACAAAATCTATTTTTTTACCTTTGATTTAGATGCTATATCTCCGGTTCCAAATGGAATTTCAAGAAATTATGTAGACTATGTTACTTTCAAGCGAAGTTGTAGTATATTTGATTTTCAGGAAAATATGTTTAGCTGTTTTTAAGTTCATAAATAACAAACAAACGTATATTCCTTTTTTATAGATATTAATTTGATTTAGGATAGAAAATAGACGTTATTGACCCACTATGTCTCACAAAAATAACCAATTTGAGTGTAGTTAAAACAGTATGAATTTTTACGTAATAGTCTGATACATGATATTTTTATATTCACAGAAATTTCGTTATACGAAATACAATATGAACATTACAAGCTTATTTTTGTGACAGCATTTTAACTTCAAATTTCTGTACTTATAGTCCAATTTAAAATTATTATTTTTTCTGAAGTTGCCATCCAACAACAAACTTCTCCCCACTGTACTTGACGGCTAAATACACTTTTCAACTAAATCTGTTATACACACATAAATAAATGTGTTATTGTTTTATGTGTCTGTGAATGTGAAAATATAATAAAATAATGGCTAGCTATCAATCAAAATGTTTTTCCATAGAAGAAATGCACATAAAAGTGAAGTTGGTACATAGAGATTCTTATGGGTGCATTTGGATGGAAATATCGTCATATAACCATACTCTGCCCATATGGCCTTATGCGAAATGTCCCGGCCACTACAACTAAACTTTTTCAGTTGTAATTTAATATATTCTGTCAAATTAGGAAATGTCATGCAATATGAAAAAATGGCAAGAAATCAACAAAATATATCACAACATAGTAGGCAAAGTCTATAGTCTGGTGGGATGGACCATTTGATACCCTACAACACTACAATTTGCGGCAAAGTTTCTAAAGACCTAAACCTCTTTTAACTAGAAAATTTCTCTAAAAAAAACATCCCAAAAAACTACTATATAATAAAACCAAATGTTGAACCTAATTTTTCCAATTTTGGAATAATTATATATCTGGATCTATATTAAAAAAAAAAACAGTAAGGAATGTATATTACATATATGATATTACATACATGATGTACAAGAACTGTAAAATCGGATGAGAATGTATTTCGAAGATTTGTAAAAATCTGAACCGATCTCGACAAAAATTTGGCAGAAGTATTTCCGATCTGTATGGTATCAAATATCTTTGTTGTGCAGTGCATATTATGCATGTAAGGGACTTTAACACCAAATCGAATGAAACATATATATGGGAACATATATCTGAACCGATTTTCACCAAATTTGAATTACTTGTTTCTAAGATGAATAAAGATATATATGGGAGCTATATCCAAATCTGATTCGATCTCGATAAGATTTGACAGAAGTATTTCTGTGCTGTATTAGATATCTTGTAGAAAATACTATTATTAAATACTAGTATAAATACTAGTATTAGAAAATACTAGTATTAATATACGATCTTCAAAAAGGCATCGGTATTTGACGAAGCAGATATTCTTCCTACGGAATTCGCTCTTTCGGATTCATTTATTCTATGCAATTGATTTTGTTTTCATTTAATTCTTGAAATAATGTCACATAGTCTTGATAAGGTTTTGTCTTTGCTTTTGACCGAAACACGAAGTCATGCAAATCTTCTTAGTATATTTAGCATGTTAATTTGTTTTCAAAACAATAATTGAAAATTTATATTCCTTTACATGATTTCCTGTATTTGCGTTATTTCGCCCTATTCGTCAACGAACTACGCATCTGAAGTGCGACTTTCATGTATTTGTAATTTTGCTAATTTTGGTATTTCGTCACAAAAAATTGTGGTCCATTTCACCAGCTAATTATTATCCGTTGCCCATCCAAAATGTTAGGCGTCAAACTTGTCGTAAATTCCAATCTAACTAATTATTCCATATCTATTGGTCCTCAGACCAGAACTGTAAGGCGACTTCAAAGTCTACACAATTTTTCTGTTTTTATTTTTCATTCATATCAAACACTAAATATTTTGCGAATATCACCCAAAACAATTCTGATCCTAACCCTAACAATGACAGAAAATTATCCGTGTAGGTCCACGCCTTCGTATAGCCCCCATATAACGGCAACCCCCGATATTCGGTATTCTGATTATTTTAGCGGCATTATTCACCGGAATTGTCTCAAATTTTCTATTTGAAGTTCTTAATGGATACAACAGTCTAAAACAGAAAATTGTCTGTGCAGGTCCACGTCTTCGTATAGCCCCTATATACTGGTACCTCCCAATATTCAAAACTTTGATGATTTTAGGGACATTATTCACAGGAACTGTTTCAAATTTGGTATTTGAAGTTCGTAATGAAACTACAGCCTAAGGCAGAAAATTGTCCGTGCAGGTCCACGTCTTCGTAAAGCCCCCATATAACGGTACCTCCCGATATTTGGTACTTCTTTGGTACTTTCATATTTGATATTTGAAGTTCGTAATTGATATTACAGTCTATGATAGAAAATCGTCTATGCAGGTCCATGTCGTCCTAGAGACTCTAATACGAGTATAACGGCTACATCCGGTATATTTAAGATTTAACCTGAATTTTTAATGGATTTTATTTTTTCGAAAATTACCAAATTCTTTCCAAATGGTGGAGGTTATTCAAAGTTCGGCCCGGCCGAACATACAACTTTTTTACTTGTTCTAAATTTCTTTTTTATTTTGCTAACAGACCCTTGTGAATTGTAAAACATTGTGGGAATCCGTCATGACGCGTCTGAGTTTCACGTGGTTTTACTTTAGAGTATTATGATGTTTTCAGGATTAATTTTTGACGATTCCCCCATACGTCTGTGATAATGAATATAACTTTTGAAGGGATCAACCCAAATGACTAAATCTTTTACCCTCCTCCGTATTATGGACGGTATATTAATTCCTGCATGATTCATTTTCCATTCCACAAAGCATATAATCCTGAAATTCTGTTTAGATTCAGCTATGTCCGTTCATCTGTGCTCAGATGTGTTTTAGGTCAACAGGACTTTTGATATTGAAAATGGGCTATATAGGTCCCTTTTGCATATAGCCTCCAAATAACTGCACCAACAGATGCGAAGTGTTTTGGTTGCCGTAAAATGGCTGTTTCTGTTGCCAATATATAGAAAACATAAAACTGTCCTAGGTCCACATTTTGGTATATTCCCCATTTCCCCATCAGAATTGTTTCAAGTTTGATATTTGGAAGACTACCTCCTGTGACCGAAAATTCTTTGTAGAAATTTTTTACTCGATCGGTCACACCCTACTATAGCCATTTCTTATATGATTTATTTTAATAGCATACAATCTGAACACTTCAGCATAGCACCTCCAATGGGTTTTCACAATAATGACAGGTAATAAATTTACAACAAAATATAGTTAGTTGCCAACATGACGTGGCATAAACACATATGTACACACATATCTCGGTAAAGTTGAAAATGTGTCTGGGTGAATCTGTACTTACCACTACCACTATCATATGATTTGGTGGTGGAGCTGCTTGTATTGGAGCGTTTAATCTCTCGACGACCCATGTTGCTGGTTGCAATAACTGGTGTTGCTGTTGTTGTTGCTGGTGGTGGCGAAGATACAACGTTATGCAATTGAGAGTGCTGTTGATTTAACGATAAATGTTGATGGTGATGTTGTTGGTGATGCTGCTGCTGTTGATGGTGTTGTCGGTGGTGTTGGTGGTGGTGGTGGTGTTGTTGATGCTGTTGATGATGATGTTGATAATGATAAATACTTTTCGGTGAGTTATTAGCAGATGTACAGCCTGTTGCGCCAATGGCAGATGTTGGGGACTCGTTACTAGACGATGGCCAGGCGCTACTTGCCGCTGCTAATGCTACTGCTGTTGTTGTGGCCAGCGAGGGGGCTGATAGTGATGTTACCGTTACAGAATCGTCCAACAGCAAAGCTTTCGGTGGGAATTGAAAGTAATTTATTTGCAATTGATTGATATGGGAATTGTGGGGTAGAAGACCTTTAGCCTCGTTCTCTTTAGCTTTTGTATTGGGGGTGGAGTTGGCGTTAGCGGTGGTGGTGGTGGTGATTGAGGTGGTATTGGTTGCTGCTGTTTCGGGGGCGGTTGCTTGGGGTGTTGATGGGGCTGTTGCGATGCTACAAATACAATGTGGTGTAGGTGGCGGTGCTGCTGGATAAGCGTTAATGTAAGTGCTGTTAGCTGTGTTCAAGGATGACGGCTTGCGTAGTGATGTGTGTCTCAACCCTTTGACAGGGTGTAATGGATACTATCGGCCGGCAATACGAACCCAATCACGATTTTCGCTGTTATACCAAATACCTGCAACGACAACAAAATAAACAAATCAAAATTAATTGGTTTCCTCTATAATAACATCACTGATGGCAAACCCAAATAAAACTAATGAAAGAATATTTCTCATTATAGTTGTTGTTGGTTTAGATGGTCACATGCTATTGGAAGCGAGTTCTGTGTGTTTGTGTGGGTAAACGTATATTTAGTTTTACACAAAAACGAGGCAATTTGGCAAGTTATTTATATTTCAAAAATACAAACTATTATAAACGTATTAGGCATTCATTGCAATTGAATGTAATATTGAGAGATTACATGAATTTAGATTTTGAAATAATTGATAAAAATATTACACCGTGAAATGCTTAATTATTCAAGGCTAGATTTGGTTTCGCTTAAAACCTTTCTAAACCATATGATAAAGCAATAAAATCACCAATATTAAATATTTCATGTGCATTCAGTAATTAAATATTTTCATGGAAAATCAAAGGCAATAGTTTTCAATAGAAGTTAATAAAGTTCAATTGATTTCCGAGAAGCAAGGGCAAAAATGTGTTATTATTGGCTCTTTGTGTCATACACAATTTCAATTTATTTATTTTTTTAATTATTCTTAAAATTCTACCATAAGTTTTTATACCCTCCACCTTGAAAGGAAGGGTATATTTACTTTGTCATTCCGTTTGTAACATCCCTAAATATTCGTCAAAGATCCCTAAATATACGTCATAGATCCCTAAATATTCAGCATAAAATTCTAAGTCGATTTAATGATGCCCGTCTGTCTGTCTGTTGAAATCACGATAGAGCCCACATTATTTGACGTAGAGCACAACAATTTGTATTGTGTCTAGGATGGTTGGTAATGAAAATTTATTCGTTATTTTGATTAAATTTTTTTTTACGGATTTGTCTAAAAATTGGTATTTGCAGGTCATAATGGATTCTCCGGTGGCGAAACATTGTATGTATAGGTTTACGTTTTCGTATAGCCCCCATATAACGGTTCCTCCTGATATTCGGCATTTTCATGATTTTTGCCACATCTTTCCACGTATTTGTCTAAAATTTGGAATATGTAGGTCAAAATGGGTTGTTGCTCTGGTGGCGGAACATTGTATGTATAAGTCAACGTTTTCGTATAGCCCCCAAATAACGGTTTCTCCCAAAATTCGGCATTTTGACGATTTTTGCCACTTTTTTCCACCGATTTGTCTAAAAATTGGATAATGGGATTTGCTCCCGTGGCTGAACGTTGAATATCACGTTTTCTTATAGCGCAGATTTACGATACCCATTTATATTCGGTATTTTGATAATCCTAGTCAAATTTACCCACGATTTTTTTTCAAATTTAGCATTTAAGACTTGGCCGAACTTAATGTTTATACCCTGCACCACATGGTGGTAAGGGTATTATAACTTTGTGCATTTGTTTGTAACATGGAAAAGGAAGCGAGATTTATGGGTCTATCATAAAATCATAAAATCACTTTTTGAGTCGATTTATGCATGTCAGTCCGTCCGTCCGTTCGTCCCTCCCTGTATTCTTGTGAATAAAATGCAGGTCGCATTTATTATCCGATTGAGACGAAATTTTCCAGACAACATTTGTTTGGTCCAAGGACGAACCCTATTGAAATTGGTGATAATCCGATCAGATTTGGATACAGCTCCCATATATTTTAGGGTTAGTTATGCACCAAGTGGTTAATATCAGTCCAAATGGCCTGAATTTAGGCACATCCAACCGAATTTAATCTAGAAGCAAGTATGTCAAATATCGGGTTAATTTTGCACCAAATGGCCAATATCTGTCCAAAAGTCCATAATTTTGGTACATCCTGTCGAATTCAGTTTAGAAGCCAGTACATCAATTTTGGAGAAACTCGGTACAGATATAGTTATAGCGCCCATATATAGTTTTCATCCGATTTGGTTTTTAAGTCCCCCACATTCGTAGTATGCACCCCACAAGAATGAGGTTTGATATCAGATAGAGCCCGGAAATACCTCTGCTAAGTTGTATCGAGATCGGTTCAAATTTCGGGTTAATTGTGCACCAAATGGCCAATATCTGTCCTAAATCATATTACAACATCTATACCCATGCTATTGCTAAATTTAGTACCATTTAGTACTTTTTATATACATTTCCAGAAAGAACTTTATCAAACTAAATTTTAACATTTCACCTATTTTAATTCACCCCAGTTTTGTACCATATAGTACAGTTATTACACATAATTCACATTTCCAAAACCACCTCCTTATATCAACCATACTTCATAAACTAAGTTTTCATAGTAAATTTTTTTCCTTAACTTTATCCATAAAACGTTTGTGTCATCAATTCTATACAATATCAAAAAAGCTCATTACAAATTTCAGATTTCCAGCTCTATCCCTTCCTTAAATACCAAATTTAATACCATTTAGTACTTTTTGGTACTTTTTTTAATTTTCTTCAATATATCAACCCCAACTCACATAACGTGACCCTAATATCCAATTTAAGATTTCCAGCTCTATCCATTAATCATATACCAAATTTAATAAAATTTAGTACTTTTTAAACTGTTTAGAACATATTTTCAAAACCACATTCACATTTCAACCATACGCATTAACAGTCACACCAATATCAACATGTCAAATTTCAAGCTCCATCCGTTCACTTAAATCCAAAATGTACCAAATTTAGCACCACCTGCGTGTCTAGTGCAGTGGGCATTAATACAAGTACATGACTAGGGTATACATAAATTATGCAGTTCACATGCAAAGATTAATTAATACATGCCCTTTACGTATGGGGAAGAAACATAAACGATCGAACATTTGTTGAACTAATATGACATAATGTTTAACAAAGGATTTAGGGTGAGCTCACATCCCATTCAGAGGTGGAATCGACTCTTATCCTCCAACTAACAAAAATCTTTAATGAACTCTTTCTTATTCAAATTAATAAGGATTCCTTAAACAGAATTTTTGTATCAATTTTAATGCATGTAAAGTAATTTCTCTAATGGCCAATAATCCGTATTTTACTCGCATAGCTCGATATGTATTATTAGAACAGCATACATGCATATTTAATTATATTTCCATGAACGGGAACTTTACTAAAATGAGAGGTATTTTAATTTTCTCAAATCTCATGCATGATACGCTAGTGTGTCCATATGTTTATATAAGCCATGATGTCTTAGAATTCACCACAAGTAAGATATCTTATAATTATCTTCACATGCACATATTTCAAAGAGTTTCGGCACATTATACTATCTTGCATTCGACATTGCCTTTGAAGAATTAATTAATTTGCTACTTCCATTATGCATGACGGACATTTTCATATGGAAATTATTGACAAGCAATGGTCGGTTGGTTGGCTGGAAAGTAATAATTCATAATTATTTTATGTGTGTGTATTCTTTCATATAAATATAACCATTCCCTGTATAGACATGCATGTATGTATATTCATATGTATATTCACAGTATAAAACATTTTGACATTTATTAATGTTCAATGTCGTTATCGGAAATATGCTCATTATTTAAATGTTGTAAAATCTCCATTTACAATGGCATTAAATTTACATTCAATTTAACAATGTCTTGGGAATTAGTTGCTCTTTTCATTGTGTCACTTTGGAATTAGGTAATAAATTTTAATGTCGATCAATTTTTATTGAAATCATTTCCATTGTTTATCCTTTAATATATTGGATATTAGGATTGACAAGTGACGTTTGGTATTTCCACACATTATTTATTAAGCTAATTAGGAAAATTAAAGTACAGACAAGTCTTGAGTATTTTACAAGTGCAGACATACACATATTCATACAAGAAGTTGAACATTCAGGCGTAAACATTACATTTATTGCAAATTATGAGTCAAGAGTTTTGTCCAGGAAGATATTGAACAAAACTATTTCATAAAAGACACTAGAACTTATATATTGCCATGAAGTTTATTTATTGTTCTAGATTCTTGAAAAAAAAAAAATACACAAAACCTACGAAAATATTACATATAATATCGCTACCCCTTTTGATTTGAAATACATTCAAAATTTAATATACAAATATTTGTTGGTTTAGAAAAAAAGACAAATTCAAAAATTTAAAAAACGTAATTATTGTAATACATTTTTGCGCAAACAAAGAAATAGCTCGGTCTACCAAATTGGAGGCACATACCGTGCTTGGTGCATCAAATATGTGAAACCGGCCAAAAAAAAAAAAAAAAAAAAAAAAAAAAAAAAAAAATGTATATATATATATATATATATACATATATATATATATATATATATATATATATATATATATATATATATATATATATATATATATATATATAGAGGAGCTATAAACCTCAAACGATTTCAATATAATTTCGCAAATATTTTTTGGTACCGAATTCCGTTTTTCCTTAAATTATTCCAGTGAAAGAATTCTGCAGAAAAAAAGTTATTCGTGATGGAATTCATTTGATTTCTTTATATTTGGCTGGAAAACCAAAAGTGTCTATACTTAGAGCTCTCCAGCATTTAAATGTGAATAAATCTTTTGTGTCTCGTGCCATCGCTGGTTACCGTGATAGCGCACACCGACGTTAAGGAAGTGGGCGGAAGAAAACAGCAACATTATCAGAAATGGCTTGAAAAGTAAAGGCGCGACTTGATCGAAACCCTCGTCGCAGTGGCCGAAAAATGGCTAGTGAGCTGAACATATGGCAATATTCCAAATATTGAAAAATCAGCTCGGGTAAAGCCATTGAAATTCTAAAAAGTGCAAGAACTTATGCCTAATATTATCGCGAAAATATTTTGGAGGGTGTATTAAATCCTTGGTCACTCAAACATTTTGGTCGCAGACCTTGG